ATCCAATTTGACCAAATCGTTGTAACTCTGAAGTAAGATGACGATTTTGTTGATCTTCTTTCTGACACATTTTGGACGGATCTGGAACGAGCATTTCGAATTTCAAACGGATCTTTCAATTCCCGCTTCCAAAACCTTATCATCTCGGAATCCCTAATAAAATCAGTTTATATCATACTCAGTTTATTCTTTTAATCTCAAGTTTTACAATCTGTGAAAAACTCCTCAATATTTAGTCTTTATTATTACATTCTCCATGACTAAGGAGTGGTAGATCTGACCTTTAAAGCTCCTACATTTTCCTTTATGTTGGTGACCACTTTAAACATATACTCTCGTGTTTGGAACATTGACTGATTACACGTTTGATTTGAATCCTTAATCCATTTGTGTGGAAAAGACGAAAGCATTTGGCCTTAACTCATTTTTTGTAGTAAGATAACTTTCTTTTAAAAAAAAAAAAACAATTTTGGACCTCTAGCATTTGAAATCCTTCAGATCGTCCCTTTTCAAGACTTTCGACCATTTGATTTCGCAAACGAAAGTATTGGTTTTACTAATTTAATCAATTATATTGTAGTTATTCACTTAGCCTTAATTAATTAACCCTAAGTCCGAAGGTAATCGCGTCTCATGTGGATCTTGAGGGGTGTCTTACACCTTCCCCTTAAGTTAATTTGAACCCTTACCTTAGAATCTCTCATATTTAGTAGACTTTAACGAAGTTTAACTTTACATTACTTAGTTAAAATAGGTGTCCTAATTCATCTTTAAAATAATTAGTTGTGACTCTTTAATTAGTAATAAATTTAGGAATCGTCAATATGTTATACTCTAATTTAATCGGGTTAAAATAGGGTATAACAGGTTTCAACAAGGTACCACGCCTAGGCCCAGGCCAGGCCCAATTATCATTGAGGCTTACTGATCCTCTCCAACACACCTAACCACAATTACATAAAGGCTGAAAATTAAACTATGACTAACCATGCCAAAAGTACTTGAATTAATTTATACAACATGGATAACTAAATTAAATTTATACAACTCTAGTCATAATAACTCAACACTCATGGTATCTAGCTAATTAACATTTGCAGCTTCATAAAAAGACATTCCAATCTTCAGCTAAGGCAAATTAGTCCAGCCCAGGTGATTCCACAATTTCTGAAAGACAACAGTTGCATTTACAAGGATAGCTACAAAGCTAGCTTGCAAACCCGCGTCCAACACTCCACAAGCAAATGAAATAGCAGTTAGGGTGATTATAACATTTCCATGACTTAACACACAAAAATCAGAGAAGAGACATGCCAAACAAAACTTTTCTTTTTTTAAAGGGTTAATTCAACGAAACAGCAAGTCTATTGAACCATAAAATTCAGAATCAGCCAACAAAGCCATCAGCCATCAAAAACATCAAAGTTAGTTATATTACATGCTTGTAAACTCAAGATATTAACTTGAATCTGGCTTTCATCACCATTTGAGTTACTACCAAACTTCAACTAGAAAAATTGCATAAGCAAACTAAAGAAGGGAACAGTTAATCATGGTAATCCTTAGTGATCAATCACAGAAATAACATAGAGAAGATATTTTTTCATTGCATGAATTCAGAGTAAGACAAAGTAGGTGAAGGTTTACATACCTAGAAGGGAGATAACAGCAAATAACCAAATAGAAGTATGAAATATAGGAGTGAGATCAGCTTTTTCGGTAACAGCAGTGAGAACCAGCAACAATACTCAACACAACTGTGCTATCAAGCCATTCTTAGCTCCAAAAACCCAGAAATTTTAGAGAAAACACACTTCCAAACTTTAGAAAAAGAAGCTGGACCTCTCAAAAGAATTATTAGGTCTGTTTTTCGTGTCTAAAGAGTGAGGGGAAAGCCATATTTATACAACAAAAATCTGTTGTGTGCCTTCCAAGGCAAGGAATAATTTTTTTGAAAACACCTCTCACAAAACATCTTTTTAACAGCAATTGGACAACTAGCCATTTCTAATTGGTTTCAGCATTTGTACTGGCAGAATGAAACCAGCTGTCTATGCTCCAGAACCTTCTAAATACCTATCTGAAACCCTCATTTCTAAACCCCAAATTACCCCCTTAAGTTACTTATTCGAATCCTTTTACCCCTCACAAGTTTAATTTGTTCACAAAATAAAACCAACAAACCAAACAGAACTAGGCACGAATTGAGAAATTAGTAAATAAAAAAAACATAAATTTTTGTGCATTAAATCCTGAATTACTCCCAACCATAACTAATGAATCAAATTGAGAAACAACATGAACAAACATCGACAAGGAATTGCTAAAGCTGAGTAATCCAGCCACTGAACTGAGAACTCAAACAAATTTTAACAAACCAATATGAAACTTAACCCTAAATTAATCTGCAAATCGGAATCATGCAAGCTAAAAAAATGATGAGAAGATGAATAGTGAGAGCTCTTACCCCAAACCTGCCCCAAGAAAGGTACAGGTGATGGATTTCGACCGGAATCTGATGAGTCACCCAAATCCGGCGGTCTCAAAGTGACTAACAACTACCGTCAATCGATTTCTCTTATAGAGAGTAGTCTATTAATGTATGTTTTTAGTCAAATCGACTCGGATTTATGAAGAAAATCGAAGAAGGGAGAAATAGGGCGAATTCTGGAATCCCTACATCTGAAACTAATAGCAATTGGTTTGATTCTTCACGAGTTTAATGGTGGCTCGTCAGTGAGGCAGGCGTGAACAATATGGGACGTGAATCTAAGTGGGTTTAAAGGTCATTTGGTGGGGTTGGAACGGTGGTTGGTTGATGGAGTTTCTAGGGGCAGCTAGGGTTTGACGAGATTAGAGAGGGGGACGAAGTGGGATGTGAGTTTAGGGTTTGGGGGAGATTGAGTTTGGACAATTAAATATAACCCTGGTACCCAGTTCACAACTGTTGGATCACATAAGATCAACGGCTGTGATGATAAGGGCCCAGAACAACGTCGTTTGGTACGGGGTAAGGCTAGACTGGGTGTTCCAATTTGGGCCTGGATCGGAGGAGTTTTTTGAGCGGGTCTTGGGGTGAAAAGCTTGGGCTTCAGCATTTTGGTCCAATAAACAACAACCCTTTAATTTCCTCTAATTCCCTTTCTTTTTTTCCTTTTTTTCAATTTTTCGTTTCCTATTTTAATTAATTAAAACCTAAATTAAACTCCTAAAATAATTAATTTGAAAAAATTAAGCTGATTATCTAATATAATATTTACAAAAATTAATTACTCCTAAATTAAAAGAGAAAATTACTAATTTAAAATTAAAAGGCTAAAAGTGCAAAAGTAAGACAATTTTTGTGATTTTCATTTTTTAAATAAAAAAACTAATTTACAAATTAACCTTAAAAATATAAAAATGAAACTTATATGCAATGCATGGTATTTTTGGCATTTTCTTGATTTTAACAAAATAAACATGCACAGAAATGCAAACAATTAACACAAATTCCTACAAAATTGTAAAACATGGAGAAAAATTTGTTTTTCCTTGTATTTTATGGGAGTAATTCTTATAGGACAAAAATCACGTGCTCACAGCTTCCCCTCTTTGCTCGGAAACATGAAGAGTTTTCGTGCAAAGATAAAGTGAGCGGATACGAGCGATTTTTGCCCGTTTGAATACTCCGTGGGAAGCATTTTGAAAAATTTGACTGCACCCTACTTCTGAGGTTGACTACATATCCTTGGCTATAAAGGAATCAGGTCAGTGTAGTTCGGGAAGTTTTGGTAGCTGGGACTCCTAGGAAGCTGTGATTTCACTGTTGCTGCTGCTGCTACTGCTTGTTGAACTCCTTATTACACCAAGACAAAATAAAATAAGCTAGACTAAACTATGATCTATGAATTACAAGAGTCCTGTCTACACATCTTCAAACTTGATCTTGCAGTCTCTGCTGCTCTGTTGACTTGTACTCTTTAGATGAGCTTCTTTTGTTGCTGACTTGAATTGCATTCCGAAGTGAATTCCCTTATTCTCCAGGTTGCGCCTGATTGCCAACATTTGAACTGTATTCCCTTGCTCTCCAGGTGGGCGCCTGATTACCAAAACTTGAATTGTATTCCCTTTGTTACCTTAAACTGTTTTCCCCTAAAATTTGTTCTGTCTTCCTTTGAAACTTGAACTGCTTTCTTTATTCTTCAGGTGGGTGCCTACTTGCCAAACTTTAACTATATTCCCTTGCTCTCCAGGTGGGCGCCTGATTGCCAAAAGTTTAACTGTATTCCCTTGCTTTCCAGGTGGGCGCCTGATTGACAAAACTTTAACTGTATTCCCTTACTTTCCAGGTGGTCACCTGATTGCCAAGACTTTAACTGTATTCCCTTGCTCTCCAGGTGGGCGTCTTATTGCCAAAACTTTAACTGTATTCCCTTGCTCCCAGGTGGGCACCTGATTTTCAAAACTTTAACTGTATTCCCTTGCTCTCCAGGTGGGCGCCTGATTGCCAAAAGTTTAACTGTATTCCCTTGCTCTCCAGGTGGGCGCCTGATTGCCAAAAGTTTAACTGTATTCCCTTGCTCTTCAGGTGGACGCCTGATTGCCAAAAGTTTAATTGTATTCCCTTGCTCTCCAGATAAGTTTAACTGTATTCCCTTGATCTCCAGATGGGCTCCTGATTGCCAAAAGTTTAACTGTATTCCCTTGCTCTCCAGGTGGGCGCCTGATTTCCAGCACTTGCACTGCTTTTCCCTCGAAACTTGACATGCTTTCCCTTGTTCTCCAGGTAGGCTCCTGGTTGCTGAACTTGAACCGTCCTCCTTTGAACATTGCTGCTTTTCCTTTGTTCTCCAGGTGGGTGCCTGATTACCAACATTTGAATTGTATTCTTTTCCTCTGAAACTTGAATTGTCTTCCCTTGTTTTCCAGGCGGGCGCCTGATTGCCAACACTCGAACCATCTTCTCTTGCTACTTGAAACTGTTTTCCCTAGAAACTTGCACCATTCTCCCTTGCTTTTCAGGTGGGCGCCTGATTGCTGAGCTTGACCTGCTTTCCTTTGAGCTTGTGTCGTCTTCCCTTGTTCTCCAGGTGGGCACCTGATTGCTGAACCTGAACTGCTTTCTCTTGAGACTGCTTTTCCTTTGAATTGTCTTCCATTGTTTCTCCAGGTGGGTGCCTGATTTCTTGAACATGAACTGCTTTCTATTTTTTAAACTCGTGTTGTCTTCCCTGGTTCTTCAGGTGGGCACCTGATTTCAACGAAGCAGACAAAACAAAAGACATTTTTCTGCCCTAGCTTGACATTGGGAACATCTCTGAGTGTTAACTGATTTCTTGTTATCAAAATACATTCTAAACTAAATTCCTCTATCCTGAAAATTTCAAACCAAGCCTCATCTCAAAAGTGAAAAGCTCAAATGCCAAATTATACTTCCCAAAAGTAGACCTCTTGTCAGACCTTTGTCATTTGTAAGGATCTCAAAACTTACTAAATTCTCTTATCCAGGAGGATACTGGAGCTTACTACCGAGCCTGTCTGCCACCTGCTTTCCTCACAGAGGGTTTCTCCGAAACAAACGAAATTTCCTACCCTTGTTTCAATCAAAGAAAAATCTTGTCAGTTGAAAATGTGGTGGTTAGTTTGTGGCATTCTTGCTAAGGGTAGCCTTTCCGCTGCCATGCTTTGTTCTGCTCAGCTGCATCTGACTGGCAAAAAGTTATTTCACCTTCTGATTAATCCTTAGCCATTAAAGCTTGAATGACCCGAGTGCCCTATAATCAGCCTGCTATTTTAAAATGTCTGTCTCTCCCATCTGAAATTCTATATTTCTCCCCACAATTCCACGAAACCACTTGATCACTTGAACCATGGCTAACACCTTATTTTCCATTTTTTCATTGGGCTATTTCTGGTATGTTGTGGCCGCATTTTGCTTCTGTGCAATTTGGAAGTTGGTAATAAGCTTTGCAATCCTTACTTTTGCTTAGCAAGGCTAACATTGAAAGAGCCTTAGAAGAGTAGACCCAGAAGGAAATGAAATGCAATGACTTCGAGAATTATGAATAGAGAAGAAAGAATCAAAACAAAAGGACTGTTTGAAGAAGTAAAGGAAAAGGGACTAATCTGAGTGAGGCTGCTGGCATCAATGATCATGACATGCACTTCGAATTAAACAGCCTAGCCCATTCAGTCAATCCTTTTTCAGTTTTCACACTTATGCCCAAGGTTCCCGCGGTCTGATTCCTTTGCAAAGTCATTAACCTTATTCGGTTTGTGGTGCCCTGAACGGTTTTCACCAGCAAACCACTCTCATTTATTCATCTCTCAACTCACTATCGCCTTAGGGTGCCCGTGAGGGTTTTCACCAGTAAGACTCTCTCATTTTTTAATTTCTCTTAGCTTTCTGTCGCCTTACGGTGCCCATGAGGGTTTTCACCAATAAGACTCTCTCATTTTTCATTTTTCCTGCTTAGACCGAAGTGTTGCCCCTGATATGAATTGCACCTCTACTTGCTCGACTTGGCCTCTCTCGAAGACTGATCGAAAGGTCTTTCTTTGGACTGTAATGTGGGCTTTTGGATAGGGTTAAAAAGAAAGGATATCACAAAGGCTCAAAACAACTTGAATGGGTTTAAAATTACAACTTTTGGAATCAGATCTCTTACAACAAATGCAACTCCTGCCCCAGTTTCTTTGCTCGGGGACTTTTGAATTTTTATTTTGATAAGACCGAACCGTGAGGCTGCCTACGTATCCTTAAAAGGAATCAGGTCGAACATAGTTCATGATATAGGAATTGCTTTGTTGTTGTTACGTTTCTCTTTTCTTTTTATTTCTTTCTTTTTCCTTTTCTTTTCTCTTCTTTTTTTCTTTTTTCACTCTTTTTTCACTCTTTTCCATTCTTTTCTTTATCTTTTGTGTTCGCGTCTCTAAATTTTGCTACTGATTTCAAAAGAGGGGTATGAAAGGAAATAAATAAGGCTCAAGGGGGTATCAAAGGATAAAGTGTTTAGATAGCAGAATAAAATGCCTTCGTCATTCCAAACTTCAAAATATGCCAAGTATACACAACAATTTAGACAAACCAAAGAAATCATACATAATATCGTTTGACTGCATCAGAATTGATAGCCATATCTACATATTTGCCTTCTGAATCAGTTAAACATAAAGCACCATTGGACAACACTTTTGTTAAAATGAACGGCCCCTGGCAATTTGAGGCGAACTTGCCTTTCGCTTCAGCCTGATATGGAAGGATGCATTTCAATACTTGTTGACCCACTTCAAATTTTTATGGACGCACCTTCTTGTTGTATGCTCTTGCCATTCTCTTTTGATACAACTGGCCATGACACACTGCTACCAATCCTTTCTCGTCAATCAAACTCAATTGTTCTAGACGGGTTTTGACCCACTCATCAATATCAATCTCGTTTTCTGCAACAATTCGAAGGGATAGAATTTCAACTTCCGCAGGTATCACTGCTTCAGTGCCATATACCAACAAAAAAGGAGTTGCACATACTGAAGTGCGAATAGTAGTGCGATAGCCCAACAAAGCAAAGGGCAACTTCTCTTGCCATTTCCTGGAACCCTGCACCATTTTCCAAGTATCTTCTTTATGTTCTTATTGGCTGCCTCGACTGCTCCATTCTTCTTGGGGCAGTATGAGGTAGAATTTTGATGTGTAATCTTAAACTGTTGACACACTTCATTCATCAGATGACTGTTAAGATTAGCACCTTTATCTGTGATGATCACCTTTGGGATTCCAAATCGACAAATGATATTTGAATGAACAAAATCGACCACTGCCTTCTTGGTCACAGATTTGAAAGTTTTAGCTTCAACCCACTTAGTGAAATATTCAATGGCCACTAGAATGAACCTGTGTCCATTGGATGCTGCTAGCTCAATTGGTCCGATGACATCCATACCCCAAGCAACAAAGGTTCTTGGTGCGGACATTGTGTGTAATTCAGAAGGCGGAGAATGAATCAAATCTCCATGTACTTGGCATTGATGACACTTGCGCACAAAACTGATACAATCTCACTCCATGGTGAGCCAACAATAACCTACTCAAAGAATTTTCTTTGCCAGAACATACCTACATATATGCGGCCCGCAGACTCCGGAATGCACTTCGGTCATGATAGTTGTGGCTTGTCTAGCATCTATGCATCTTAACAATCCCAGATCTGGAGTTCTTTTGTACAAAACTCCTCTACTAAAGAAAAATCTATTTGCCAAGCGCCAAATTGTTCTCTTTTGATCCCCTGTGGCTTATACCGGATATACCCCCGACATGATGTACTCCCTAATATCATGGAACTAAGGTTCACCATCAAGTTCTTTTTCTACCATGTTACAGTAAGCATGATGATCGTGGACTTGAATATGCAAAGGGTCAACATAACCTTATCTGGATGATGTAACATTGACGCCAGAGTAGCCAAAGCATCAGAAACCTCATTGTGGATCCTAGGGATATGCCTAAACTCCACTGATCTGAACCGCTGACAGATATCCTGTAGACATTGTCGATACGGTATGAGTTTCAAATCTCGGGCCTCCCATTCTCCCTGGATCTGGTGCACTAACAGATCTGAATCTCCCAAAACCAACACTTCTTGGACTCTCATGTCCACAGCTAACCTTAAACCCAGAATACATTCTTCGTACTTGGCCATGTTGTTGGTAAAATAGAAACAAAGCTGAGTTGTGACAGGGTAGTGGTGCCCTATTTTAGAAATGAGTACAACTCCTATTCCAACGCCTTTCATGTTGGCTTCCCCATCAAAGAAGAGTTTCCAACTAGACTTTTCATCCTTCTCGACTTCATTAATATGAATTACCTCTTCATCAGAAAAGTAAGTCCTCAAAGGTTCATATTCTTCATCCACCGGGTTCTCGGACAAGTAATCGGCCAAAGCTTGGGCTTTCATCGCCGTCTGAGTCACATATACGATGTTAAACTCTATGAGCAAAATCTGCCACTTTGCGAGCCTTCATGTTTGCATGGGCTTCTGAAAGATATACTTTAAAGGATCCAGGCGAGAAATGAGGTAAGTAGTGTAGGATGACAAATAATGCTTCAACTTTTATGCTACCCAAGTTAGGGCACAACATGTCCTCTCAAGGGGAGTATACTTAACCTCATAAGATGTGAACTTCTTGTTGTGATAATAGATGGCTTGCTCTTTCCTGCTAGTGATGTCATGCTGACCCAACACACAACCAAATGAATTATCCAGGACTGTCAAATAAAGAATCAAAGGTCTCCCATGTTCTGACGGGACCAACATGGGTGGGTCCGACAAATACTATTTGATCTTATCAAATGCCTCCTGGCACTCATCAGTCCATTTGAACGTATCATCCTTCTTTAGTAACTTAAATATGGGCTCACAAGTTATCGTGAGCTGAGCAATAAACCTGTTGATGTAGTTCAGCCTCCCTAGCAGACTCATTACCTCGGTCTTGTTCTTTGGTAGTGGTAACTCCTAGATAGCTTTGATCTTTGACGGATCCAATGCAATGCCCCGTCGGCTGACTATGAACCCCAACAGTTTCCCAGATGGAACACCAAATGCACACTTTGTAGGGTTGAGCTTAAGATTGTACCTACGGAGCCTCTGAAAAAAAATTCTCAAATCTCTGACATGGTCAGACTGCTTCCTAGACTTTATGATCACATCATCCACATAAACCTCAATCTCCTTGTGTATCATGTCATGAAATATGGTAGTCATTGCCCTCATGTAAGTTGCCCCAGCGTTCTTCAAACCAAAAGGCATGACCCGGTAGCAATATGTTCCCCACGATGTGATGAATGTTGTCTTTTCCACATATTCCTCATCCATTAAAATCTGATGATACCCCGCATAGCAGTCCACAAAAGACCCAATCTCGTGTTTGGCACAATTGTCAATCAAAATGTGGATATTTGGCAGTGGAAAATTGTCCTTTGGACTTGCTTTGTTAAGGTCACGGTAATCAACACACACTCTGGTCTTACCATCTTTCTTTGGCACAGGCACAATGTTGGCTAACCACGTGGGATACCGTGTGACTCGAATGACCTTTGCATCAAGCTGTTTTGCGACTTCCTTTTTAATCTTCACACTCATGTCAGTTTTGAACTTTCTCAACTTCTACTTGACGGGAGGGAATGCTAGATCAATTGGCAATTTATGGACCATCAAATTGGTACTCAAGCCTGGGATGTCATCATATGACCATACAAAAATATCCTTATACTCAAACAATGCTTTAATTAATTCTTCCCTGTTTTGCGGTTCAAGATGGACACTTTTCTTAGTTTCTCTGACATTATCTGGGTCCCCTAGATTGATTGCTTCCGTATCGTTCAGATTAGGCTTGGGTTTTTTATTCAAAATGATTTAGTTCTTTACTAATCTCTTCAAAGGCCTCATCCTCATCATATTCTGATTCATCATCACATTCTATTTCTTGGATTATTATTTCAGAATTATATTGACTTTTAAGACTTGGCCGAAGATTCCTCATGTATGTCATGTCATTGAAACCATCATAAAAAGAACTGTACAAAGAAAAAAAGAAAACAAAAATAAAACTATCAGGAATGATGGAAAAGGGAATTGCATTTCATTGAAAATAAAGGATAACAGGGTTTGTACATCAACAAGCGGAAAATAAAAAATCTAGGTCACAACCCTGGAATGGCCCAGATAGAAAGGAAAACAAAACAAACTACCAAGACTCCTTCCGAGTAGGGAGAGGAGTAGCCTTCCAATTGTTAAGCTTTACATTCGGCCCGACGAACTGCACGCCTGCTTTGCTAGAACCTTCTCCAACTTCTACCATGTTCATATCATCGAACAAACCTTAGAACCTTTCAATCAACTCTTCATCAATGTCAACCATAGAACTTGGAACTGTCGTCACTAGGCATTTCCTGGCACTGGGCTTGACAAAAGACCTGGAGAGATGCGGGATAGGCTTCGGAAGTGCCCACGCCTTCTGTTGCAACCTTTTAGCCCTTTTCACATCTGCCGCTGTAGGTTTGAATCTAAGACCGAACGTACCCAAATTTTCAGGGAGGGACATTGGTTGTATGATACCCTGCAAGGATGCATCCAGACTTTTACCTGGCTCAAAGACATTTTTTAGTATTTCAGAGGCCACCATGATGGATGCAGAGGCTATCTTTGGAGTTGGAACACATTTCCCTTCTGGAACCTTCTCGACCGGCACTGTCTCAAAAACTTGATAGTTCTAGGGCCTTTTATCATCCTTAGCCTTAATAAACGGGATGGAGGCATCACTGTGAGCACACAGATTCTCCTCACCATTCACGACGATCTCTTGTCTATCCCACTCGAACTTGACCATCTGATGCAAAGTGGATGAGACTGCTTTGGCGGCATGTATCCAAGGCCGACATAACAACAAATTGTAAGAGACGGCTACATTTAGTACCTAGAACTCCATGGTGAATTCCATCGGTCCTATTGTCAATTCAAGCACTATATCACCAACCGAGTCTTTTCCTCCACCGTCGAAACCTCAAACGCATATGTTGTTCTTGTGAGTTCTCTCATCATCAACTTTCAACTTGTTCAGAGTAGAAAGAAGGCAGATGTTTGCACTGGAACCATTGTCAACTAATACCCTGGTGACCACAGAATCTTCGCATTTCATCGTAAGATAGAGAGCTTTATTGTGTTCAGTACCTTCCACAGGCAACTCGTCATCAGAGAAGGTGACCTTGTTCACCTCAAATATTTTTTTAGCAATCTTTTCCAGATAGTTCACTGAAATTTTGTCGGGGACATGAGCTTCGTTCAAAATTTTCATCAGAGCCCGTCGATGCTCGTCTGAGTGGATCAACAATGATAGCAAGGAAATCTGAGCAGACATCTTTCTCAACTGCTCCACGATGGAGTAATCTTGTACCTTCATTTTTCTTAAAAACTCATCCGCCTCTTCTTCAGTGACTGATTTCTTTACTAGAACTGGGTTATCTCTGGATGTTCTAGCTTTCCTTAACTCTTCCGGGGAAAAGCATCTCCCCGAACGAGTTAATCCCTGGGACTCATTGACTTCTTCTTTCATTTACTTTCCCTTATAGGTCACTATCAATCGTTCGTAGTTCCATGGGATAGCCTTGACATTGACTACCGGTAACTGGGTTACAGGCTTGATGATGACAGGGTCCGTAAGGGCATCCTCTACAATTATGATAGGCTTACTCATCAACCTGGCACAACCACTTTTGACTTATTCTACTTTGTTGCAGCATCATTCGGGAATCTTTTCTTAACTACCACAGATGGCTCACTGTTTGTCATGCTCAACTTGTTCACTGATCCTTCAACCGTTGGTTTTTTAGTTGGCTTGACCTCACTAGACCGAATCATCATAACGGATTGTGAGGGCTTCTTGGGTTTCCCCTCCTTGTGTACTATCTCGATCATGTTTGTTTCCTCATGGGTTAGTAATGGGTTCTGATTGATGTTGGGTACCTATGGAGTTTGGACTTCAATCCGGTTTGTGTCGATGAGCTCCTGGATGGCATTTTTCAAGTGCCAGAACTTCTCTGTATCATGCCTCGGAGTACCAGAACAATATACACAGCTCAAGGAGTAATCAAGATTCTTTGGAGGAGGTTTTGGCAATTTCGACTCAATTGGCCTCAGCATATCCAACTGCCTCAATCTCTGGAATAAACTGGTATAAGACTCCCCCAGTGGGGTAAAAGTTTTCTTTCGCTGCAACCTCTTTTTTTTAACGCTGGATTAGGTCGAAAACCTAGGCCGGTGGGGTTTCGGTAGGCTAGTGGGGGTGGGTAAGCATTTTGTGGAGCTGGGTAGGTGTTTTGTGGTGTTGGGGCACGCCATTGTGCGTAGGCAAGAGGTTGAGTATATATCTGGGCATAGTGGACAGAAATCTGAGGATCTGATGATGGGAAGTAATGCTGGGGTGGATTGTATGGGGTTTGGGCGTAGGTTCGGTGATGGGGTCGAGGCTGAGTATAATGGTGTGACGGGCTCCTCGGTCCAAACCATGATCCTGATTCAATTGTCACCACATCTTCTTTCTTCTTCTTTCCGATCACTCCTCCATTACCATTCTGAATGGCTTGGGTAGTTGCTTTGATTGCCGAGTAGCTCATGATTTTGCTTGATTTAAGCCCTTCTTCCACCATGCCACCCATCTTCACTCTCTCGTTGAAAGACTTGCCTATGGCCGATATCAGATGGCTAAAGTAAGTAGGCTCCAGAGCCTACAGAAAGTACTCCACCATTTCACTCTCCTCCATCAGGGGGTTAACTCTTTCTGCTTGTTCTCTCCAGCGAAAACCATATTCTCTAAAACATTTACTAGGCTTGTTCTCAATTTTAGTCAGAGACAAACGATTTGGAACAATCTCAATGTTATATTGGAAATGATAAGCGAATGCTTTGGCCAAATAATCCCATGTATACCATCTGCTGTGATCCTGACGAGTGTACCACTCCAATGCCACGCCACTCAGACTCTGGCTAAAGTATGCCATCAATAGCTTATCTTTCCCACCAGCTCCTCTCGTTTTACTGCAGAATCCCCTCAAATGGGCCATCGGGTCTCTGTGCCCGTCATACAAATCAAACTTCGGCATCTTAAAACCCACAGGCAACTGAACATCGGTAAATAGACATAAATCTTTGTAGGCTACACTCACCTGGCCTCCCAATCCCTGTATGTTTCTGAATGATTGTTCTAGGGTTCTTACCTTCATGAACATCTCCTCCTACTCTGGGTTTTTTGGTGGTTTCTCAGTCTCAACTGGGAGGTCAAAACGAGGAGTGTAGGAGTAATGATCTAGGGCCTTGAAAGTAGGCTCCGGGGGATAGTATTGGCTATCTTGGTTCTGGAATAAGGGCTCACTAGAGGATCGATGGAGTATAGCGGGTGGGGG